CCAAATAAAAATCTAGCATTTCACAATTTTAGTTCTTGACAGATTTTAACAACTTAGCACAAGTCAAGCAATCTTAACACAATTCAAGCAAGCATGCAATGAGTATATAAGCAGCGGAAAGTAAAGCATGTAACTTGCAAGAAAGTAAAGGGAGTGGTTTGGAGAATGCAAACGTAATTGGAGACACGGATATTTTTGTCGTGGTTCTGATAGGTGGTGCTATCGTACATCCACGTTGATGGAGACTTCAACCCACGACGGGTAACGGTTGCGCGAGTCCACGGAGGGCTCCACCCACAAAGGGTCCACGAAGAAGCAATCTTGTCTATCACACCATGGCCATCGCCCACGAAGGACTTGCTTCACTAGGGTAGATCTTCACGAAGTAGGTGATCTCCTTGCCCTTACAAACTCCTTGGTTCAACTCCACAATCTTGACGGAGGCTCCCAAGTGACACCTAACCAATCTAGGAGACACCACTCTCCAAAAGGTAATAGATGGTGTGTTAATAATGAACTCCTTGCTCTTGTGCTTTAAATGATAGTCTCCCCAACACTCAACTCTCTCTCACACAGGATATGGATTTGGTTGAAAGAAGATTTGAGTGGAAAGCAACTTGGGGAAGGCTAGAGATCAAGATTTATGTGGTAGGAATGGAATATCTTGACCTCAACACAAGTGTACGTGGTTCTCTCTCAGAAAATGTATGTTGGAAGTGTAGGCATGTTCTGATGGCTCTCTCCATGAATGAAGAGTGGGTGGAGGGGTATATATAGCCTCCACACAAAATCTAACCATTACACACAATTTACCAAACTCGGTGGGACCGAATCGTGAAACTCGGTCAGACCGCATAATGAGACCGTTAGGTATTTCAGTGGGATCGACATGTCAACTCGGTGGGACCGATATCATTAGGGTTAGGGCATATCGTAATCTCGGTGAGACCGATTACACAAACTCCGTGAGACCGATTTTGCTAATAAGCTAATCAGAGAGTTGGTCAGGCAAACTCGATGGGACCGATTTGCTCATCTCGGTTGGACTGAAATGTTACGAAAGGGAAACCGAGAGTTTACATTGCAATCTCAGTGGGACCGATCGCTCATCTCGGTTTGACCGAAACTTTACGAAGGGAAACAGAGAGATTACAATCCCATCTCGGTGAGACTCGAGATCCCTATTGGTGAGACCGAAAAGACTAGGGTTTCTGGCAGTGGCTATGTCAATTGAACTCGGTGGTGCCGTATAAAAAGTTTCGGTGGGGCCGAGTTTGACTTTTGATTTGGGACATATGTGGATGTGAGAAAGTAGTTGAGGGCTTTGGAGCATATCACTAAGCACTTCAAGCAAGCAAACCATTAAGCAACACCTCACCCCCTCTTAATAGTATTGACTTTCCTATGGACTCAATGTGATCTTGGATCACTAAAAGTAAAATGAAGAGTCTTGTGCTTTGAGTTTGAGTCAATCCTTTTGTCCTTAGCATTTTGAGGGGTCCACGTTTCTCATCCATGCCATGCCAAACATTAAGCTTTCCTGAAATATTTATCTTGAAATAGCATTAGCTCAATGAGATATATGTTGTTAGAAATTACCAAAACCACCCAGGAATAGTTGCACTTTCACTTCACCCTACTCTCAACAAGAGAAGAGCAACAAGGTGGGGTTGTGCTCCTCACGCCAACCGTTCGAGCAAGCTACTTTGGTGTTCAATCCATCCACCAGTCTTTACTATGATAGGTGTTCCACCATCTATCCGAAAATAGTGAAGCATGTTAGAGTGATGCTCGTTGAAATGACATTGAAGCCTCTAGAACGGTTTTGGTATAAATGAAGTGATTGGGGGGCCTAAGGTTGTTTACAAGTTTCATGAACATGCACTACTCCATGGATGAAGAGAAAAGGTGGACGAAGACCCCTAAAGAAAAAGTAGAGAAGAAGATTGTTAGTTTGCATTATGTATTTTGCCTTATGCACTAGTTGAAGGAAATACTAATTATTAAGAGAGGCAACATGATGACTAGGAGTGCGGAGACAAACGTCTTTTAAGATTATACACACATCTAAGTTTGAGGGGAAACCCCTAGAGAAGCTAAAGAGAAGCACCATACTTGAACCCATGATTTGCTCTAAATGTAGGTTGGAGGTACCGTGTGAAGGTTCTGGATGGCGAAGGATTTCAACTTGTGGCAAGCATGAATGTCATCATCAAGCTCAAGTGGAATGCTTGAGGGAAAGATATACGTTAGTTACATTTCACTGGTTTTACCGGTCTCAAGGTGCTTTGTGGGACAATGGATTACATGATTGATAATCGTACTATTTAGAGGGTTATCAAATCAGTAGCTTGATCACGTTATCATAGATTCTTCAAACCTATACATGTGTGGCATCCTCCTTTCGTGTTCATATTGAGTGGTTTCTCTATTCAAGGACCCCGGACTTGTTGTCAGCATTAAAACGAGACCAAAATCATCAAAAACAGAGTTTGCATGAGTTAGTTGTGGGTTTTTTTTGTGGGTATGTTCCTCTTGTTTTCCCATGGCCAGAATATCCAGGCTAATTGGGTTGAATTCCTTGTGTGTTGTTTCGGGCACGAGCTTCCAGGTCTGCCTCTGTGTGGTTCTAGGCTTGGGGACGTAGTCGGCGTGCCAATTGGGCCAATCCGGGTCGGAAAAGATGCTCAACGAGAAAATGTGTTGATCCTATAGATAAGGCTCTTACCTCAAGAGGTCATAACATTGATTCTATAGATAATGCCTGAAAAGTTGCCCGATGGGAAAAACGAGAGCTCTTTCCACCTCCCCCAAAGCCCTAATCTCGCCTCCAAGCGAGGGATTGGTGGTGGATCAAGGAGTCACTTGTTGACCTCCCCTAATTGTGAGCTTGGTTCTTGATCTAGGAACTAGAGTTTTACAAATCTTGTCTTGTAGTATCATCATCATTTAGTACCCGAATTTTACCTACCTACAAGAACATGTTTGTATATAATTCCTCCGTCCTGGGTTACTTATCGCTCAAACGGATGTATTTTAGTGCTATATACATTGGTTTGAGCGTCGAGTAATTTCAGACGGAGAGAGTACATGCTAGTGTGTTGACTGATGATACTGTATGTGTTTGGTTAAATGCTTTGTTGCTGGCTTGTGATTGTTAATCTACGTGAAGAATGGTATTGTAAGAACATCATGACACAACTACAAGTGTCGGGTCAATCCTCTCCCAGCCTGCAGATTCGCCATTCAACTTGTAATCTTTTGACGTTAAACGATCGCTCTGCTATCATCATTTCTAGAATTTTAACCATTCAAATGGATGTGGAAAACCAACAAGGATTTGTAGTATTAGTGTTCAATACTAGGAGAGGATGGATTGGATTTAAAATCAGCTTTGCATTAAAAGCGATATAAGCATCCTCCATGAACAAGTACAAACATCTTACAAATGCATTTTGCATGAGATGAGCATGCCACCATATAATTCAGCACAAACTACTGAAGCTTGACACTATACAATTAAGTGAGCCAATCTGGCGATGGATACATAATAAGCACAAGTAGCAGAAATGGTATGAAATCTTCAACAGGAAAAAGAAGGTGGATCCGACGGATATCCACAGCATGCTTCTTGTTCTTCAGCAGCTCAAAGAGGCATCGTATTTGCCCTTTCAGAAGCTCTTGCATTTATTCTCCTTGACATGGTATCAGTCACAAGCGGGAGCTACATGCACTGGGCTGCCCTTTTTTTACATGGTATCAGTCACACTTGCTTGAGTCCTTGCCATCAGCAAATTTCTCTGGAAGAAGTCCTGGTTATAGAGGGAAACGGTGCTTACGGTTTAGATGCGACAACTCAAAAGAAAGTATTAAACTGAAAAAAAACGAGGAATATAGAGCATGTGTCCGCAGGCCTCTCTTATATTTATAAAAAGAAAGGAATGATGAGGATTTTAACTCGCCACAATACAAAATTTTCAAGGATACTACTCCATCCGTTCACAAATATAAGATGTTTTGGATATTTCATGGACTACACACGGACTAAAATGAGTGAACAAGCACACTAAAACGTGTCTATCTACATCCTGTTCAGAAAAAAGTTAGAAAATCTTATATTTGTGAACAGAGGGAGTACTTGTTTGCAATACAAACATCTACTTTTGAACTGCCACTAAAAGTCATTATGCGAAGAGTATCCAATTTGATTGAAATGCTCATAAAGCCAACTCTTATTTGCCAAACTACACAAACATGTTTCTGAAGTTATCTAGACAACTAAACATGTATTTACAGTTCCAGATTAGAAATGTTACTGGGCATAGACATCAGCACGGCATCTGGATTCATATATGTTATTGCAACAACTTAGTATTCACCTATCATTTTGCATGTTATGCAAGACAACAGAGATAAAATGTAGATTAATAAGTTTGATTTATAAGTACAATCAAGACGTTATAAGCGGCCACTAGGTAGAAGCCTATCATTATTTAATCAGAGTGATTGATTTGTAGATGAATGAGAGGCAAGGTAGGAGCCGTCATTACATAAACTGGCTCTGAGAATGTCACACCAAGTATCACGTCGTATTGTCATAGGAGCAACAAGAGCTGAAACTAGGGAATCACTAGGGCATTGCGTTGCTGGGTACAGTAGGTTGTGCCACCAACCATCCAGGTTCCAACTCCACTACCCTCTTTCAAAGAAAAATCAGAGGTTGTGCCATCTATTCAGACATAGCAGTGGAGTGCAGTCCACAACAGTTTTCATATTTTCCATTAGGCTCGACACACGTTTGGTAATCGGATGTAGTATATGTCTCAGCTGTCCATGAGTAAGAGGTTGGTTTGACTAGTGTGTTTGCCACGTGAGAAGACCAGCGTCAGTTACAATATGTCAGTTGCAAGTTTTCAGCATAATTACAGATTGGGTCATTACGATTTACGAATATGATGATGGTGAAAAAATAATTTTTTTCACGGCCTAATTTAGCAACATCATGAGCAATGGTATGATCCCAAGTCGCTACTTGCAAGTGCATCATGAGATGAAAACACATCAATTTGAACATTCAACCACTGTGGTCAATTGACTGCACGAAAAACCATAGCTATTCCACCTAAAATGGCACCAGACAGGATAACTTGGTGACAATGCCAACAGACAAAACAAAAATTAACATGCTGCCTCATGCACCCTCAGCTGCACTGTGAGTCTCACCAGCCAAAAGCAAGAATTCATTAGACATGATGCACACTGCACAGCCCAACAAAATCCAAATATAGGTGGTGCAAATTGCCACTTTTGATAAATACTGCTGCTTGCTGCTACTAAAAGTAATACTTACGACTGTATGAAATGTGCTTAATGGATCTCACCACAAAGTAACGAACTAAAGCAATCAATTGGTGAGAAGAATGTAACGATTCTGAAAGGACCTAGC